GCATTTCATCACATGTGGAGATAAAAAGCACTTCAGATGTACTTTATGGCACCTCAATTTAAGCCACACTTCACTCCAATTAACTTAAATTCCAGCTGACCTCTCTGTTTTTAATTTTGCTTCGGCTTCAGACAAAAACAAAAATAAAATCAACTTATGTTGGACGTTTTAATTAACTTATTATATTCTACAAACTGAAAAAAAAAAAAAAAAAAAGTTTTTTGTAAATAGTTTATTTGACTTTTGTATAATACCAATTCAACAAATATCTCATTTTAGTCTAAAAAATTTCATGTTAATTTCAAAATTTACACCAATTTGAAGGTAAAATTTCATCTTTTTTTTTTTTTTTTTTTTTTTTTTTTTTTTTTTTTTTTTTTTTTTTTTTTTTTTTTTTTTTTCCGGCTCTTTTTTATCATCTCTTATAGTTAGGCTGTCGATTGTGAATAACAATTTTCTAAAGTTTTATTTGATGAGTTTATCTCATTGAACCAACAAATGTCATATTCATTTACTCATCTATTTCTACCAACTAACTCTATCAAGTATCAAGTAAAATTATATTTTACTATGTGTATACATGTGTGTTGCTCGGGATATGATATAATATATAAATTAAGATAAGATAAGATAAGATTTAATATTATTTTTATTAATTATTAATATTATTTTTATTAATTATTTTACAACACATAATAATTAATATTTGATTAATATGTCGGCGCACATTATTTTGATATACGAAAAATTTATAAATTTTAAATGTGATATTGACAATTTAATTATCTAATTAGTATTTTTATATACATTAATATACCTTCATTATACGCTTTGTATTCATTTTATTTTACTAACATAAATACGATTGTGTTGGGGATTTGGATCTAGATTGAACCAGTTGAAAAATGCCTCTGATCGTCAGAGAATAACTGATTACCTGAAAAACAAAGGACCGAGAGTGGTTCTCGAATGGATTGAAAGTAGATGTATGTATATCAGAGTGTTGAGTGTTTAAGATATACCACAACCCTTTTTATTGGGGGGAACACCTTGGTGCCCAATATTTAGTTGCACGTGCTGCCCAATTGTCTTCACCAGTCTGCCCGAAGTTTCCCGGAGTTCAATTCTTATTTGCTTTGTGGACATCCTTATCATCACAGGATTCATCCTTATCCTGTTTATATTTCCCCTTATTCCAATTAGGTCTCCCTCAACTCGAGTTAGCAAGTGCTCACACAGGGTCCTCGATCCAAGTGTCCGTACTAAGTGTCAATAGGTCACAGTTCCTCATATTGTCATGTTAGGTGCTAGTGAGCCTCAACAGTTGAGGTCGCCCCACCGAATCATAGTAAGATTTATCAACAGGTTGTATGTTGTGCTTTAGTCGACTCGTTCCAGTTTCCCTTGTATCCATTTGTTCTCCATAAGTCGACATGGTGCATTTCTCAGTCGGTCGACTTGTTTTATTTAGTGTCAGTCCGATTTGATGGATCTTTGGTTATGTCAACAATGTACATTAAATTGAGATATTGACTTATCCATCTCAAATTCCAAAATGTATGGAGATAGTTTAGTCACTTACTATTAAAAATAAATTAAAATATATTTCCTCCTAAATCTGAACCAATAAAATGGGCGGGGAAATCATTTCAATTGTAATGGTCACTATGTTCTCTTTATATATACTAGTATGTGGCTCGTGCGAGGCATGGAGAGGTAATAATAGTATAAATTAAATATATAAATAACATTAATCACCATTTCATCATCAAACATTCGTAATTTAATTATTTGAATTGTATTATATTTATTGGGAGAAAGTATATATACTTAATAATGAAATTTATATTTTGTTTTAATAATCGATTTGGTCCGATCATAACTTGGTCACCCGGGACGCAACAAAAGTCGTGTCATATTTTTGGACGATTTACAAATGATGTGAAATTGATCCAATAAACATGTACAATAACATAATTCAATCAGCACAGTCGATCCAAATATTTTTTTTTTCTTAGAGTCTATGATTCATATAGTAAATGTTCATAGCAAATGAAAAATATAATATGACTTCAAATTATAAAATTAAATACAATTACTTGTTATTTACAATAGGCATATTTATAAAATAATAAATGCAATAATTTCAATATAAAATTAATTGATTATCTATACCAACATGAGTTAGAATCGAAGAGAGATATTGTGAATATTCATTAATATTTTTATAGTATGTTAATTATAAATTATTAAAATCATAAATGGATGGTGTTGTAAGGAAGAAATTACATTATAGAATTATGTACTCATTTTATACATTCAAACCAAATCAATAAAATCACACACACACACATACACATATTGTCATAATTATCATTATATATAGCTAAACAATATTTCGTAATTCTATTTAAGTAATCTTGCAATGTTATTATAATTATAATATATATATATATATATATATATATTATCATTGATATAACGTCACTAAAAATAGAAACAAAATAGATTAGATAGAAATATAAAAATTGATTGAAAGTTTTTTTAAAACCATAATCAATAGATTTAGATCAATTATTGATATCATATTACCTAAAAAAATAAAAGTCCAATCATGATGTTAAAGAGAAAATTACCAAAAGAAAATAAAAAATAAAGTAAAAAAGGAATATTTTAAAAAATTACTTGATATTGGATATCATACTTGGTCGACTAGACTAAAGAAACCATCCAACCGGAGCGTGAATAGGTAAGTTGACCGGTGCTACAGGTTGAACGGAGTCTCAGGCCGACGAGGACACTGCATGAAGAGGTATCGCTGGTAGATCGAGCTAAGGTGCTCGGATGGCTTGATAGAAACACGTCCTGGAGGTATGCTGGTTGAAGGACCGACCTAGGAGACATTGTACACGAGACTAGCAGTGAAAACGATCTGCCTCATGAGAGGTCGAGTCGGTCGTATGGTTAGATCGTCCAATGTGGAAGACTAGAGAATAAGAAAAAATATTATTAAGATAATATCCACGCACGGATTGGGCCGCGTGGCCTAACATAATTGGGAAGTTCGGACAAGACGGACGGGCAATTCGGACAGTGTGGACAGCTCATCCAAATAATTTTGGGTCAGTCCTATATAAAAAGGTGAGGTATATTCATTTTGTGCTCTACACACTCTATATACTTACAGAGCCTTATACTGCTACGATTGATCGTCTTCATTATTTAGGTTCTAACTTGAGCGTGAGAGGCTCTTCGTCGGGAAACATATTGGTTTGTGCAGGTTAAACAAGTCTTTGATCGGCCAAGAAGACAAACCAGGTCGAATCGAGCCGGCTCGAGGTTTGTCACACACCATTCTTTATATAGTAGCAAAGTACTTTTTTACGAAAAAAAAAAAAATACTATTTTACTTGAATATCAAACTTTTATATTATATACTATATATATTAAGATTTATATAACATTGATTTTAGTGATTATTTACCTTATGTACTCATTTACAATTTCAAATCCATCTCATTTTATTCTAAAAACGATTATCTTCACTATTTTATCTCATTTACGAAAAAAAAAATAAAAAAAAAATACCCTAATTTGAAATTTACCCATCTCATCAAAATTGGGACCCTATATTTTCAATTTCTCATAATTCTTACATCAAATCATTTCCCCATTATTCACCCCTAAGTCCTAACAAACTAAAAAGTAAAATCCTAAAAAAAGGTAAATTAATTGGAATTAATAAGAGAAATAATAATATAAAAAGATCTACCAACAAACAAACACACATTACACGGCTCACTGCACACACCTTGTAACCTGTGCCCTCTCTTTAATTCTCTCCATGTGAAACAAATTTCAAAACACACACTCACAGCAAAACATAGAGAGAG